AAAAGCTGCAAAACATTATCAGGCAGCTGGTGCTCATAGCAAGCCTCACCAGACAGCTTCAGTGCATATCTAATGTACAGGATGGAGTTATGGGTCTGCAAGGACATCCGATTTCTAAGTTTGCTTTTTACCACACTCATCTGGCTGAATACTCTCTCGACTTCAGCATTCGAGTGTGGCAAGGACAACACAGACACAGCAGCCATAGCAAGTTCTTGAAACGGGTTGATATCGGCTGCATCCCTGAACTTCCAAATCTCACTCCAGAAGCCCAGTGTGTTTTTTGTCTCATTCCATTTACTAAGATGGATGGCACGCCATTACTGGACAATCTTGTCTATCTCTGCAGGGGAGTAGGCAAGGAGCTTGGCTATTTTTTCTATTTCTCCAGGGCTTTAGAGTGTCCTCCACACTGAGAACTGACATGTACTGCAATGCTTCGATGTTGTCCGGCAGTCTCACCCTCAACTCATTAGTGAGGGAGATGGTGAAGGCTACACACCACTTTCGGACATTGTTTTCATCCTCAGACGCAAGGTGGAGCTCAGCTGCCTTTGACTCAAAAAGGTAACCAAGGTACGGTTTGGGATTGATGTATCCATCTATTGGCCCTTTGAGTACATCAACATTTGCCAGTAGATTCAGCATCCTGCTGCTCACAGACTTGATCAGGCTAACCAAGCTGTCAAATAGCTTAAGAGGATCTTCTTGCTCTCCCTCAAAAGCCTTGATGGCCAACTGTATCCCACCCAGCACTGACTTCAAAAAAGTCAGATACAATATGTTTTGAGGATCACTGTACATGGAGTATAAAACCTCAGCCATGTAGCAGTGTTCACTGGACTTGGTGACTGCGAAATGCTGCCTAAGCTCCTCCCACTGGTCCAAAATCCGTGAAACCGCGGGTTCAATGGCGAGCCAACGTGTGGCACACACCATGGTTATCTGTACAGGTTTCTCCCCACCGTTGATGGTCTCATATATGGCCTTGTAGGCCTCCCTGCGCTTTGGAGACACTGAAAACCAGTTATAAGTCTCTCGTACAAAGTACTCCACACTACGGGGGATGGTGTCATTGGAAGTATGACTTACAGCAAGCTGCAGAGAGTGGCACACACAGCGAATAAGAACCAGATATTTGAGGCTATACTCCTCCTTCAGCACTTTATGGACCCCATTGTTAATCCCCGTCATAACAGAGGCATTGTCAGTCCATATCCCCAGGAGTTTCTCTTTTTTAAAACAACACTTCTCGAGGAAAGCCAGAACAGCACGGGCTATAGATTTGGCATCTCCTCCCTCTAACTCAACAAGCCCCAGAAATGTTGATACAATTGTCTGCTTGGTGTCACTAAAGTACCTTATCACAACCCCCAGGTACTTAGAAACACTTCATCCGTGGACTCATCAAGGAGGAGGCTGAAACGCTGGTCACCGACATCTGCAACCTACTTTTTCAGAAAGTATGGTGCTAAAACACCATTAAACATTTATGTGCACTTTGTCCTGTGCATTTTGAAGTGGGTAGCAGCAGTGGAGTCTGAGAAAGCAGCTCTACATGCTTCTCCAATGTGATCACATGCCAGCATGGAACAGTGTTCAGCGATAGCTAATGCCATGGTGGCCTCAGCCTTTTTTGCAGAGTCAATTATTTTAACCATAAATGGCAGCTTGTTTTGGGTGGAACTGTTATAAGGCTTTGCCTTTTGAGTATGTTTTTGAGTTGTCATGTGTTTTTTTACATTACTAAGTTTGGCGTAGAAATCAGCCTTACAATACAGGCAGTATGCCCGTGTATCATCTCCAATAAACGGCTTCAACCAGCCTTTGAATTCAGGGTTTGATTCCCACTCCTTTCTGTATTTTTGAGTGTACAGTTTAGACTGAGACATGATGAGCTAGCCAGCTAGATGTTTAGCTTATGTCACAGAGAGGCACACACACAGTGGACGAGGTGAGTAAGTGACTGTGTGAGTCAAATGCAGTGATTTATGTTTGTGCAGTGATTTATTTTAGACAAAGAACATTTTACATTTACATCCCGCCATGAATGTAACCCCAGAGAGTGCTGTTGAAGTTACTATAGACCTTCATTGCAAAATAATGTTTTAATCAATTAATGACATATGAATATATTTATATTTTTATATTTTTAGTGTTTCACTATTTTTATTTTTATGAAATTTCACTGAGGAGGATGGTCCTCCCGTTCCTCCTCTGAGGAGCCTCCACTGGTACATATACAGGTAATTAAACTACCATTTAATGGTAATGTGGCAGCCATATTGGATTTTGGACTCCATATTGGATTTAGAGTCAAATCTAGGTGGGGCCCTTGTGTAATTGCAAGAGTAGGGGCTAAATATATCAAATCCACAGCGGAACCTTTGACTGGAAAAAATGACAGTTTTCAGTGTCTGAGCCCACTTGCCTTAGAGCTGATTACAATAGCCACAACATTAAAAAAGAATGTGTGACTGTATCCATTTTTCTCAGGCAGGACAATACAGCATTGCCTGGCTACCCAGACTCCTTGCTTCGGCCAAATGCCACGCCTACGGACGTTAGTTTATTCTCTGCAATGAGTCTACGTAGTACGTGACCTCCCTGACCCTTCACTGAATGCGAACACATTCAGGGCCATCTGATTGGTCCAGAAACCAATGGGTTAGGTCAGAGCCAGAACACACGTGGGTAAAGCGGCGGTTTGAAAATTCGGCATTGGCTTTGATACTCTGATTGGTTAGAAACGATCAAATCACTGATGATCCAATTGCTGATTGTCTTCTCACGAAAATGTCTGTAGCATTCAAACTAATATGACCTCTCTATGGAAAGATGAGACTCTCACGAACAAGATGGTTTTCTCCGTTTTGCTCTATGACCTCCATAACTGTCACAGGACTCGTCTGAAGGTAACCGATACAAATGAATGGAAATATGGAGGTAGTTTTTGCCAACAAAAATAAGGGGTTAAATATGTGTCCAAAAAAACCACAAATATTTCCTGAGCTTTCTTATATGTCCTAGATATAGGACAGATACTTCAAAACCTTATTCCTTATGATTTTGACTGTATTCTTTCCCATTTATGAATGTGTTATTCAATGTGTTTCTATGGGTTATAGTAGTAAAGCCCAAATTCAATATTTTATTAAATATATATATTTCTTTTTCTTTTTTATACCTAAAGGGGTCCTAAAATTCCAAATGAATAGCTAAATGATCCATGCTATGACCATCTTAAAACAATTCCATATGTTAGCTTAGTAGAACCCCCAACGGCTTAGACTTTTAGATGATAATGTATGTATTTTTGTCAGGCAGGACCGTACAGCACTGAATGAGACCACATTTGAATTAAAAAGTTGTCTATTGAACGGCTACCAAAAAGTGAAGTTTACATTAATCATAAATATTAATAGTTGATATTTCCGCCTATTGTGTCTGTGTGTTTACAGGTCTATATTTCCAACATGATTTAAGATATCCTAATGCTGTTTGTTTGTGTATGTAGGGCAGACAATTGACAACTTGTATTCCACATGTTTTGCAATATCAGAGCTTGCAATATTGGGTTACATGTCCAAACCAATTATGTATATAAACCCTGGATTTTGATGCTATATATTGGCAATTGAGAGGTTTTGAAGCCACCATATTGGCACTTCCCAGTAGGAGCAGTCCTCTATAGGAATGACTGGAATTCTACAGTATTTCAATTAAATATTTAAAGGACAAAATTACATGTATTTAAGTATTTGTTGTTGTAGTGGGGACAGTAACATTAGTAATCTAAAATATATATATACTTTTAATTTTTTTTGTATAAATATATATGATGTTTAGCTCACACAGTATAATTTAAAAGTATGCATAGAATAAACGTGGCAAAAACGAATTAAGACATTAATAAATGCATGTATATGGCTTCCAAAATATTTTTTACAACGGTGGGGGAGTGCCAAGATGGACTCATGGTGGCTTCAACACAGCGCCCCCTATTTGTATTCTAGTGTATAAATAATTGGTCCAAATTTGGGTGTGAAATTAGATCATTTTTAGGTATGGATATATCTCATGGTTAATGCTATGCGGAATCCTTGAGACGTCCCTACCCTAAACCCTAATCCTAACCTTAACCCCTACTTTACCATTATCCTAACCCTAACCCAGGGTTTCCCCAAACTCGGTCCCCCAAGGGGTGCACGTTTTGGTTTTTGCCCTGGGGGACCACGTTTTGGTTTTTGCCCTAGCACTACCCAGATGATTCAAATAATCAACTAATCATCAAGCTTTGATCATTTGAATCAGCTGTGTAGTGTTAGGGCAAAAAACAAAACGTGGAGGACCGAGTTTGGGAAACGCTGCCCTAACCTTAACACTTACCTTAACCATTTTAAATTTCAACTTCATTGGGGTGACGTCAGAGTTGGACGCCCCAAGGATCCCGTATTGCAAGGACCTATATCTCACCAAGACAACACGTCGGAATCAACACATTTAACGGGAAGGAAAAGCTAGACAGAAAGTTCGTAAAAAGGTGAGTAGCCTACGATATTCTATTATTTATTGTTGTCGACTGACATATTAACATAGGCAATTGCATTTTGAAAGGGGTAATGGCACTGGTGAATAGCCTACTGTTCAGGAAGAAGTCAGATCAATATTGCGTAAAATACTATGACCAGAGAACTGTTATGAATGTTATTGAATTTACAGTATTCGGACCCAGTGTTGTGCTAATCGTGGGTGTAGCCGGATTTCTGTTGGCTACAAAGTTAATGAATTTATGAAACTTTAAATGAACAATTTCAATCATGCAGACTTTACTTTAAGCTGAGCATTAAAAGTGAAACCACACCAACCAGAACAACATCCAAGACAATTCTGCAATTGTGACATCTCATAATGTTGAATGAAGAACATTCATGAATCTAGTCATCTTTACAGTAATGAAAAAAACAAATCATTTGCATTATCTATTGTAGGTATCAGTCATGGAGGTTACAGAAAAGGCCATGCCCAAAAACGCCCAGCTGCTATCTATTGGCCACAAGGACACTTGTCGCCTCTTGGAGGTGTATGTGAAGCGCAGCATCAGTTTAAATGACGGGACACGTGAGAACCAGAGGTCACCAACAAAGCCTCAGAAGTGGGTGACTCTGTCAGAGAAACACAGAAGAGTCCGCCGGCATTCTAGAGACACCTTGATCACCTTGGAGCCCAGCACACCTGACGTGGGTATTGCCAGTAGCACACCACCTGACGAGGAAGTTGCTATACCAAATGTGCCTCGAGTAGAAAACCCTGGGCCTGCTGACATTGCTGAGAATGAGACGTCTACTGAACTGGAGAATAAGTCTAAAAAGGGCAAGAAGAAGAGCAAAAAGACTTCTCTCTGGAAAGGTTTCCTGGGTTTCTTCTCGGCGAAGGGGAGTGACAAGAAAGATGAGCAGGAGTCTGGCACAGAGAAAGATGGACTGTCACAAGGAACCTTGCAGAAAAAGAAATCCATAAGGCGAAGGAGCTCCATGAGGACACTATCCCTGAGAAAAAGCCAGATTGACAGCCACAGAGGGTCTGTAAAGAGACCATTGGGTCGGGACAGGGCCAACACCACTGACATTACTGGAGTTGAATGTAGGTTTGAGAGGACATGGCACCCTAAGCAATTATTATCACACACTGTATTGTATGTTTTCTTATTATTGTCCTTTTGTTCAAACATAAGATTTTGTGGATTTGCAATCATTTTAGCTTAAAACTCCTCAATCCAGGTTGGCCTACTAGGCTAATGGTCAATCCTCAAAATGGGCTTTCGTTTTTGAGATACCCCTAGCCGGGGTATAACAAAGTACAACCATGTTTTTCCATATCTCTAAGGTTTCCCATATATGAAGTTGATGGTTATATACAAATATTTTACTGCAAAAGTGGTTACATTGATAGATATTGTGACACACCCCCTTAACTCAAACAGTGCAGAATAATGCCTGGCTGGAGGGGGGTGGGGCCACATAAACTCATGTAACCCAATATTGCAAGCTCTGATATTGCTAAAAAAGTAGTCAATTGTCTGCCCTACATACACAAACAAATAGTATTAGGATATCTTAACGCATTTTGGAAATATAGACCTGTAAACAGAGATACAATAGGCAGAAGAATCAACTATTGATATTTATGATGAACGTTAACTTTACTTTTTGGTAGCTATTGAATAGACAACTTTGTGGGGTGGGGGGTAAGCTAACATATGGAATTGTATTAAGATGGTCATACCATGGATCATTTTGCTATTTGATTTTTGAATTCTAGGACCCCTGTAGGTATAAAAAAGTATATATACAGTGAGGGAAAAAAGTATTTGATCCCCTGCTGATTTTGTACGTTTGCCCACTGACAAAGACATGATCAGTCTATAATTTTAATGGTAGGTTTATTTGAATAGTGAGAGACAGAATAACAACAAAAAAATCCAGAAAAACGCATGTCAAAAAATGTTATAAATTGATTTGCATTTTAATGAGGGAAATAAGTATTTGAACCCTCTGCAAAATATGACTTAGTACTTTTTGGCAAAACCCTTGTTGGCAATCACAAAGGTCAGACGTTTCTTGTAGTTGGCCACCAGGTTTGCACACATCTCAGGAGGGATTTTGTCCCACTCCTCTTTGCAGATCTTCTCCAAGTCATTAAGGTTTCGAGGCTGACGTTTGGCAACTCGAACCTTCAGCTCCCTCCACATATTTTCTATGGGATTAAGGTCTGGAGACTGGCTAGGCCACTCCAGGACCTTAATGTGCTTCTTCTTGAGCCACTGCTTTGTTGACTTGGCCGTGTGTTTTGGGTCATTGTCATGCTGGAATACTCATTCACGACCCATTTTCAATGCCCTGGCTGAGGGATGGAGGTTCTCACCCAAGATTTGACGGTCCATCGTCCCTTTGATGAGGTGAAGTTGTCCTGTCCCCTTAGCAGAAAAACACCCCCAAAGCATAATGTTTCCACCTCCATGTCTGACGGTTGGGTTGGTGTTCTTGGGGTCATAGGCAGCATTCCTCCTCCTCCAAACACGGCGAGTTGAGTTGATGCCAAAGAGCTCGATTTTGGTCTCATCTGACCACAACACTTTCACCCAGTTCTCCTCTGAAACATTCAGATGTTCATTGGCAAACTTCACACGGGCCTGTATATGTGCTTTCTTGAGCAGGGGGACCTTGCGGGCGCTGCAGGATTTCAGTCCTTCATGGCATAGTGTGTTACCAATTGTTTTCTTGGTGACTATGGTCCCAGCTGCCTTGAGATCATTGACAAGATCCTCCCGTGTAGTTCTGGGCTGATTCTTCACCGTTCTCATGATCATTAGAACTCCACGAGGTGAGATCTTGAATGGAGACCCAGGCCGAGGGAGATTGACAGTTCTTTTGTGTTTCTTCCATTTGCGAATATTCGCACCAACTGTTGTCACTTTCTCACCAAGCTGCTTAGCGATGGTCTTGTAGCCCATTCCAGCCTTGTGTAGGTCTACAATCTTGTCCCTGACATCCTTGGAGAGCTCTTTGGTCTTGGCCATGGTGGAGAGTTTGGAATCTGATTGATTGATTGCTTCTGTGGACAGGTGTCTTTTATACAGGTAACAAGCTGAGATTAGGAGCACTCCCTTTAAGAGTGTGCTCCTAATCTCAGCTCATTACCTGTATAAAAGACACCTGGGAGCCAGAAATCTTTCTGATTGAGAGGGGGTCAAATACTTATTTCCCTCATTAAAATGCAAATCAATTTATAACATTTTTGACATGCGTTTGTCTGGATTTTGTTGTTGTTATTCTGTCTCTCACTGTTCAAATAAACCTACCATTGAAATTATAGACTGATAATTTCTTTGTCAGTGGGCAAACATACAAAATCAGCAGGGGATCAAATACTTTTTTCCCCTCACTGTACACTACCGTTCAAAAGTTTGGGGTCACTTAGAAATGTCCTTGTTTTCGAAAGAAAAGCAATGTTTTTGTCCATTAAAATAACATCAAATTGATCAGAAATACAGTGTAGACATTGTTAATGTTGTAAAGGGCTATTGTAGCTGGAAACGGCAGATTTCTTATTGACTATCTACATAGGCGTACAGAGGCCCATTATCAGCAACCATCAGTCCTGTGTTCCAATGGCACGTTGTGTTTGCTAATCCAAGTTCCTAGTTTATTTTTAAAAGGCTAATTGATCATTAGAAAACCCTTTTGCAATGATGTTAGCACAGCTGAAAACTGTTGTGCTGATTTAAAGAAGCAATAAAACTGGCTTTCTTGAGACTAGTTGAGTATCTGGAGCATCAGCAATTGTGGGTTCGATTACAGAATCAAAATGGCCAGAAACAAATAACTTTCTTCTGAAACTCGTCAGTCTATTCTTGTTCTGAGAAATGAAGGCTATTCTATGTGAGAAATTGCCAATAAACTGAAGATCTCGTACATTAAGAATCAGCCATTTCCAGCTACAATAGCCATTTCCAACATTAACAATGTCTACACTGTATTTCTGATCAATTTTATGTTATTTTTATGGAGAAAATAAATTGCTTTTCTTTCGAAAACAAGGAAAGTGACCCCAAACTTTTGAACGGTAGTGTATATAAAAAAAATGATTTACATATTAGTGTGTAGCCCACACTGTTTGGACATTCCAGACAGAATTTGGCAGATCAGAAGGGTCCCATGACGCTTGTGTGGGTCGTAGAGTCTCATCTTTCCATAGAGATGTCATATTAGGTCAAACAGTTTGGACGCTTCAGACGCTTTCGTGAGAAGACCAATTTTCAGGATGTCTCCTGGTCTGACAAACACCACTGTAGCTCTGCAACCTTCCACCGCAAATGCGTAAGGCCGACATCGACGGATGTGGTGGATTGAGATAGATATCTCTAATTTAAACAGACTGATTTTGATGGGGATTTTTTTAATTATGCTAAATAGATTTCAATGCGGGCGTGGACTTGGTCTCGATTTAATAATGTTTTGGGGAAATTGGACCCTAGTTGACTTGGGCACTAGTTGGTAGTCCAGTTATTAGACAGTTATTGCATGAAAAAAGACTGCAAAGACAATGACCATTCTTGTTACTTTTTACAGCGGTTTTGAGTGTGTGCCCTACTGACTCGTACTATGAGAAAGTTTCAGAAGAGCTGGAGAAGATTGTGCATGAGGTAAAAGAGACAGACACAGCTCTTACAGATGGTAAGTATCAATGTTCTCATGTGTATTGATGTCTTATCTATTCATAATAAAAATGACACATTCTATAGCAACATACACATTTGATATATAAAGCTGTAAAGTTCATGTGATACAGCACAACTGTCTAATGTAGAGTTACTACAGGTAACTTCCAAAATAATGGAACTACTTGAGTAAATGAGGGATACAAAGTATATTGAAAGCAGGTGCTTCCACGCAGGTGTGGTTGCTGAGTTAATTAAGCAATTAACATCACATCATGCTTAGGGTCATGCATAAAAATGCTGGGCAGGCCATTATTTTGGCTACCATGGCTAGGATGACAATGCCCCCATCCACAGGGCACGAGTGGTCACTGAATGTTGATGAGCATGAAAACAATGTAAACCATATTCCATGGCTGTTTCAGTCACCAGATCTCAACCCAATTGAACACTTATGGGAGATTCTGGAGCGGCGCCTGAGACAGCGTTTTCCACCACCATCAACAAAACACCAAATGATGGAATTTCTCATTGAAGAATGTTGTCGCTTCCTTTCAATAGAGTTCCAGACACTTGTAGAATCTATGCCAAGGTGCATTGAAGCTGTTCTGGCTCGTGGTGGCCCAACACCCTATTAAGACATTTGATGTTTTCTTTATTTTGGCAGTTACCTGTATGTTTACCTACTGTATGTTTTCTATCCATTTCTTCCAGAGGAAGTCATCAAAAGGATCATTGTTCTGATGAAGCAGCAAGGAGACATCATTGATAACAAGGTTTATGTTTAAAACCTACAAAAAAAGATTGCATTTGAGAAACTTAACACAGTCTTTCTTTGACACTCAATGCATCTTTCACATTTAGGATAGCTTGCTATAGGCTGGGTAACAGTCTGATTGTGCTATCATTCCACTTCTTGTAATCTGACATATGCCAAACATGTTTGGTAAATTACACAGACTACAATGAGTGGAACGTTAGCACAAAACAGGTCTGGATTTTAGTCTAAACTTGCTATTTCCTAATGGATAATAACGAATTATATTCTATGGTCATGAAAGTATGTCCTCTCTCCATAGCTGAAGGAGAACCCCAGCTTGAGCTCATTCTTCCAGAAGCTGTCCTACAGCACCTTCCAGCAGTTAGCTGATACGTACGTGGAGACAGAGACCCCTACAGGCCAGAGCCGCCAGACACGACACACTGCTGGGCCTGGGCCCGTCAACGCCCCGGAGCTGGTCAAGCTTGCCTTCACTCTGGACTTCACAGCCAGGGTGGCCTGTCTCTCCAGGCATTCCAAAGGCCACATCATGGGCATGGGCCACCGCTACTTAGAGAACCGCTTCACACAGACACAGGTAACAACACCAGAGGCGAGAGTCAGACCTTTTTTTCTCTTCTATTCAAATGAATGTAATTATGTGCAAATAAACCAAACTAGAGAGGTCAGAAGGGATTGTGGGGGTACTGCTGTGACACACGTAACAACACCAGAGGCCAGAGCCAGCCTTCTGTTTTCTTAAGTTAAAACATGTTTTGTACCCAACCAGACTCTACATGACCTGTAACCACAGTGCTGTCACCAGGTGACTCAAGGAAGACCAAATATGTTTCTAATGACATTTATGTTGCTTTTCAGGTTAATCCAGATCAGACGTTGCATAAATATGATGATCCTAATCATTGATACACCGTCACAGGCAAATAAGACTAACCACTGCAGGGGAAACCGAACATTCTTGGTGGTATAAAAGCACATGGAGTGCTCCTCGATTCCTTGTGACACAAATGGAATAGATTACTTAAAATAGATTACTTAAAATGAAACCCAGAGGCAAGTCATGAAGGGAACATCACACACAACACTTATAGTAGGCCTTGTACCAGTAAATCTACACTAGGGTAATCTGTGTAATTACTATGTTTACAGGTTAGTAAGTCATGGATATGCAATATGGAGTTCTTACCACTTTCGGTGCAATCTGTATTTATTTACCTGAATTATAATATATGCCAAAGCGACTAATCATGTATGCATACATTTTACCATTAGTGGTAAGTACTATGTACTGTAACTGCCTTTACTAACTACCCTGCTACAAGGTACAGGTACATAGGTTATTCCTCTACAGTTACAGCACCGTTTCTTCATCCTGGTTCTTGGGACACAAAGGTTTTTGCCCTAGCTCTACACACCTGATTCCACTAATCAAAGGTTTGATGATGAGTTGATTAGTAGAATGAGTGCTACGGTAGTGCCTTGTTTCTGGAAATTGTACTTATGACCCCTGTACCTTTCACCTGAAAGAATAAGAAAAGCAAGCTATTGAAAATAACTTTATGTAGCAATATTTCTAGGAAGTATAATTATACTAAACAAAAATATAAATGCAACATGCAACAATTTCAACGATTTTACTGAGTTACAGTTCATATAAGGAAATCAGTCAATTGAAATAAATTCATTAGGCCCTAATCTATGGATTTCACGACTGGACAGGGGCACAACCATAGGTGGGCCTGGGAGGGTATAGGCCCACCCACTTGGGAGCCAGGCCCACCCACTGGGGAGCCAGGCCCAGTCAATCGGAATGAGTTTTCCCCACAAAAGGGCTTTATTACAGACAGTGCACTAGTAATTACATGAACTTTGCACCATACTTGTATTTACACTTTTTTTGTTATTGACATCTCAGCACAATCTTTGGTTTCATCAGTTTTTCTGTTGTTTTTTTTCAGTCAAAGGAAGTACTACTAATGAAAAATTAGCAATTTATATACTGCATGTGTCTACTCAAAAACAGAATACTTAAGTATCCCGAATAATAACGGGATATTGGTGCGCATGTAAACGTGGTCATTGTGATGCACTGAGGTCCCAAATCCATTTTAGATGACTGATTTTATGACCAAAATTATCCTATTTACACTTTTTAGTCAATTTTGACACTAGAATAAATGTTTCTGACTCATATTGATGGGCCGTTTTCAAAGGGATTAGTTTCAAAGGGATTAGTTGTTTTTTTAGGGGCAGGCGCTCTTTAACAGACATTCCCTGACAAACATTTGAGCACAGAGTTTCTAAACCCAGAGGCGCAACATCGTGAGACTTCTGGGAATGCTTGTGAAACAGACCAGGCTGGGGTTTGGGGTTTGAGAAGTCAATGAGAGAAGTGAAAAATTATTCCTTAGTTGTTAATTTTCTCAAAATCTAAAGGCACATCCTAGATTCGAGTCAATGTCTTAAGTAATTGAACATGTTATTACTCCAACCTCTTGAAAGTGATGAACACGTTTTCATTTGTGTCAAAAACTACTTTATATCGAAGGAGTGCCTTTGAATGGATGGCCTGCACTTGCGTAGTTCGGTGCGAGATGACAATTAGAGCCGATGACGTGTTTGTACGCATGAGCTTAGCTTGCCAATGTCGCCATCACATCGCCTACAACAACAAGTGTGATCGGGGATTTCGATTGGAGAAGCAGTTTTATTAATTTGTTATAGATTTTTTTGTACTTTATCCAATTGGTAGTTACAGTCTTGTCCCATCACTGCAACTCCCGCGATGCAGTGCCTTAGACTGCTGTGGCACTCTGAAGGCCTGGAGAAGCAGTTTCAGCCTATCTTTATACTTTACTGTCTTTGATTTGGGCACACCTATTTAAAATGGCAGGTGACCTAATGACTATAGTTAAAATCAGCGGTGTCAAATTAGCCACACCCATTATCTGGACCAATAGAAACAAAGAAACAATTAAACAAATGAACACAATTTGCTGTAGAGGTTGAGAGTTAACTTTAGAACTGTTGAAGGTTTTTAAGTGAATGAGTAGATAAAAACATACTCAAAACAACTTGTGCTTAAATAAATAATGTGAATAAATAAATACTTTCAGTAAATACGATCAAACCTAGAATGTCTTTAGGTGAGGCTTAGGTCTGCTATTCATCTGCCGAGAACATCACAGCTCGGGCCAGGAGTTTCCCCTCCTCCCAGGGACATCCTCTCCTCCTCTACCGTGTAGGAGATGTGTGGGGAGGCCAGGGTCTCCTCAATGCTGGTGCCAAACTCCAGTGGCAGCAGCCTCTGGCAGTGGTGGAGTAGAGACCTCAAGCAATCAATCAAATGTATTTATTAAGCCATGTTTACATCAGCAGATGTCACAATGTGCTTATACAGAAACCCAGCCTAAAACCCTAAACAGCAAGCAATATAATTTAGATGTAGAAGCACAGTGGCTAGGAAAAACACCCTAGAAAAGGCAGGAACCTAGAAAGAAACCTAGAGAGGAACCAGGCTCTGAGGGGTGGCCAGTGCTCTTTTGGCTGTGCCGGGTGGAGATTATAAGAGTACATGGCCATTAAGGCCAGATCGTTCTTCAAGATGTTCAAACATTCATAGATGACCAGCAGGGTCAAATAATCACAGTGGTTGTAGAGGATGCAACAGGTCAGCACTTCAGGAGTAAATGTCAGTTGGCTTTTCATAGCTGAGCATTCAGAGGTCGAGCAGGTGCGGTAGAGAGAGGGAGGGGCCATAGCAGGTCCGGTGAACAGGTCAAGGTTCCATAGCCGCAGGCAGAACAGTTGAAACTGGAGCAGCAGCACTACAAGGTACAGTAGCACATCTGGTGAACAGGTCAAGGTTCCATAGCCACTGGCAAAACAGCAGGGACTGGATCAGTAGCGCGACCAGGTAAACTGGGGATGGGGACAGCCAGGAGTCATCAGGCCAGGTAGTCCTGAGGCATGGTCCTAATGCTCAGGTCCTCTGGGAGGGGAGAAAGAGAGAGAGATGGGAGAATTAGAGGGAGCATACTGAAGTTCACACAGGACACCAGATAAGACTGGAGAATTACACCAGATAGGACAGACTGACCCTAGCCCCAGGTACAGACTATTGCAGAATAGATACTGGAGGCTGAGACGGGGTTGTCGGGGACACTAAGGCCCTGTCCAACGATACCCCAGGACAGGGCCAACCAGGCAGGATATAACCCCACCCACTTTTCCAAAGCACAGCCCGCACACCACTAGAGGGATATCAACAGACCACACATTTACTACCCTAAGACAAGGCTAAGTATAGCCCACGAAGATCTCCTCCACCCCATGAGCCCGAGGGGGCGCAAAACGGGACAGGAAGATTACGTCAGTGACTCAACCCACCAAGTCGAGTATAGCGAAAAAAGCCTGGCACGACTTAACACACCCCTCCTAGCGACGGCATGGGAGAACACTAGTAAGCCAGTGACTCAGCCCCTGTAATAGGGTCAGAGGCAGAGAATCCCAGTGGAGAGAGGGGAGCCGGCCAGGCAGAGACAGCAAGGGCGGTTCGTCACTCCAGTGCCTTGCCGTTCACCTTCGCACCACTGGGCCAGACTATACTCAATCATAGGACCTACTGAAGAGATGAGTCTTCAGTAAAAACGTACAGGTCGAGACCGAGTCTGCATCTCTCACATGGATAAGCAGACCATTCCATAAAAATGTAGCTCTATAGGAGAAAGCCCTGCCTCCAGCCGTTTGCTTCGAAATTCTAGGGACAATAAGGTTGTTGGGCTGATTGTCCGTCGCTAGTTCCAGGTTAAAGAGGAGGGAGAAGCCCGGTGGATCAGGGTGGCTCTCGGTTGTGTAAAGTGTGTTGATGGGTGTTGTGGGTCTCGGGTTGTGTAAAGTGTGTTGATGGGTGTTGTGGGTCTCGGTTGTGTAAAGTGTGTTGATGGGTGTTGTGGGTCTCGATTGTGTAAGGTGTGTTGATGCTAGAGAGCTGGAACCGCAGTACAGAGCGATGGCGCGGCTGTGGAGGAGGCTTCTCTGGACTCTTAGACTGTGTCTGTGTTTCTTTGGTAGGGGCCATAATCTGACAGGACCATAATCTGACAGGACCAGAGGGCCACAACCTGGCAGGACCACAGGGCCATAATCTGACAGGACGAGAGGGCCACAACCTGGCAGGACCACAGGGCCATAATCTGACAGGACCAGAGGGCCACAACCTGGCAGGACCACAGGGCCATAATCTGACAGGACCATAATCTGACAGGACCACAGGGCCATAATCTGACAGGACGAGAGGGCCACAACCTGGCAGGACCACAGGGCCATAATCTGACAGGACCAGAGGGCCACAACCTGGCAGGACCACAGGGCCATAATCTGACAGGACCATAATCTGACAGGACCACAGGGCCATAATCTGACAGGACCACAGGGCCACAACCTAATAGTATCTCAAAACAGTGTGTAAGAGAGAGCACTTACTGCACTAGCCTTACAGAGAGTGTTATGGAAAAGTAGAAGAGACATTAAAATGAACAGTTTAAAATGAACCACACCTAGAAACCCTGTAGTCAATAGTTGGTTGACATCAGGGTTAACCTGACAAAAAAAAAAGATTGAAGTTAGATTAATCAGCCTTTTTGGATTGTGTGATAACCAGTATGTTGAAATAACCAATGGTGACTCAATCAATTCTTGCCCGGTGGGGATGCTCTTGCCAATAACAATAATAACATGGTGTTTGTGTGGCACATGATTACCAGTAACTGGGATCGCTAAGAGTTATGGGTATTATGATCTCACAGTTGGTCACAGTGAAGCATGAGCTGATGCGTCTTACCTGTACACAAGGTTCCTCTTGGGGCGAGAGAACTTTAGAAAGAAAGGCACAACCAGTTTGACATCCTGCCACAGGGCCTTCTCTGGGACCTGGCGTACCCAACACAGCACCCTGGGGGATGTACATGTGATCAAAAGTTTAAACAGACAAGTGTACCAATGGTAATATGGTATGAACACAAGCGTGACCGAAAGAGACTTAACGGTAGTTATGTAACTAAGGGGTAGACTGTACAGAACATCTATAGTTTTGCCCTAGAATAGTGTTGGTATAACAATGCTTTCTGAAGCATTTGGGGATTTCACCAAATTGTGTCAAAAAACGGTTACATTACTCAGAGCTTTTAACACAATGACATCTGCTGTTCAGTAATAAATAGCAGCTTCTGGTTTTCATATACACTGAAGAAAAATATAAACACGACATGCAACAATTTAAAATAGTTTATTGAGTTACAGTTCATATAAGGAAACCTGTCAATCGAATTCATTAGGCCCTAATCTTTGGATTTCACATGATGGGGAATACAGATATGCATCTGTTGGTCACGGATATCTTAAAACAATAGATGGATCAAAAAACCAGTCAGTATCTGGTGTGACCACCATTTGCCTCATGCAGCGCGACATCTTCACATAGAGTTGATCAGGCTGTTGATTGTGGCCTGTGGAATGTTGTCCCACTCCTCTTCATTGGCTGTGCGATGTTGCTGGATATTGGCGAGAACTGGAACACGCTCTAAAGAAACGTTGGAGGCAGCTTATGGTAGAAAAATGAACGTTAAATTCTCTGGCAACAGCTCTGGTGGACATTTCTGCAGTCAGCATGCCAATTGCACACTCCCTCAAAACTTGAGACATCTGTGGCATTGTATTGTGTGATATGCCACACCTGTCAGGTGGATGGATTATCTTGGCAAAGGAGAAATGCTCACTAACAGGGATGTAAACAAATGTGTGCCAAACAAATGGAGAGAAATACACTTTTTGTGCGTCTGGAAAATTTGAGGGATTTTTTTATTTCCGCTCATGTAACATGGAACCAACACTTTACATGATGCGTTTATATTTTTATAAGTATAGAACAGGGATGGGCAACTAATAATGGAATATAACAGTACATGTACTTGTCAGTAATAAATAGCAGCTTCTGGTGTTCATATAGCACAGGGATAAAGCATCTAATAATGGAATATGTACTGTAAGCAATGCATTTCATTTTCTGAGTCATCCATTCCCAGCTACGTATACCCAAGGAAATCCCCTGACATGTCTATGAATTCTCTACAGAAGTTTTGATAATGCAGCTTATACATTGGTGTTATTCATAACTATGCTATCATGTTTTACACATCAGCTTCGATAGATGGACTTTTTAATATTCAGTCACTTAAGGATTCAGTGGGGTAAGGTAACTTGTTTTCTTCTAATGAGAAATTCAACTTGGTTGTTGTTTGTATAGACACTAGTATTGAACATCACCTGAAGTTGACATGGACGAAGGAGGAGATGGGTAGCAGTAGGTAAGTAGGTCAGCAGACGGGCTGGGAAGAACAAGTTGTTTACGCCACATTTGGCCATGAGGTTACACAGCAATGCTGAAATAGCAGACAAAACCAGCACAACCACATATTGTGTTGTGCTGTCAAAAGTGAGAAACCACAAAACAAAACCTGAATGAGATATGAATCTGATTTATGTTTTACTATCGAGCAATGTTAATAATTGTCTCACCAAACCAACACCCATCTCTGCGCAGCCTCGGTAACGGGACAGCTGAATTCAGGGCAAATGTTGTGGCCCACTAACAACGCAGCAGTGGCATGACATGGAGATGTGGTGTGGGTGGCATACCTCCCTGGAACCATAGGGGCAGGCTGAGATATACAGCCTTCTCTAGAGAGCTCAGGTTCCACCTCAGGTCCTCCAGGCCATGGTAACTCCACTCCTCAGGTAACTCTGGATCTCTGAGCCTGTTAATACTTTCCCTCTCGTCCTCCCGATTCTTCCTCTTCTTTCAGGAAAGGCTGTAAATCTGTCACTCCCCAAAGAGGACAGGCTGTAAATCTGTCACTCCCCAAAGAGGACAGGCTGTAAATCTGTCACTCCCCAAAGAGGACAGGCTGTAAATCTGTCACTCCCCAAAGAGGACAGGCTGTAAATCTGTCACAACCCAAAGAGGACAGGCTGTAAATCTGTCACTCCCCAAAGAGGACAGGCTGTAAATCAGTGTCACTACCCAAAGAGGACAGGCTGTAAATCAGTGTCACTCCCCAAAGAGGACAGGCTGTAAATCTGTCACTCCCCAAAGAGGACAGGCTGTAAATCAGTGTCACTACCCAAAGAGGACAGGCTGTAAATCTGTCACTCCCCAAAGAGGACAGGCTGTAAATCTGTCACTCCCCAAAGAGGACAGGCTGTAAATCAGTGTCACTACCCAAAGAGGACAGGCTGTAAATCAGTGTCAGTCTCCAAAGAGGACTGGGAATGAATGTTTCTCATCCTTACTAGAGGGTGCCTCATTTCTGAAACAGATTTGGATTTGATTAAACTTTTTACCCTGGCCTATTTATGAATTTTAATGACTACAGTTATCATTAGTCTACCACAAATTCCTGTGATGGGGTCATTTGTCTTCAAAACAAACGCATCACATCCACAAAGTATTTGTAGTGTACCTAGAAATGTCAAAACAAACTAAGAAAAAGCATGTCACACTTGTGTCATGCAGTTAAAGCAGGGATGGGAAACTTTGGTGGAGGTCCAAAGACTTCATGAGGGGCCACATCCATACCAACACATGCAGTCATAGCAGGCCCCTAGTCTCCCAGGTGTTTACAGTTCTTCATATCTTATAATCCAACAAGGTTTCCCCTTTTCTTGCAGGATCTGCAAATTCTAACTGCCACTACCAAAAAAAAAATGCAGTTTGGTACTCAAAAGAAACAGCATTGTTCTGCCTGTCTTTTCAAGTTTGTCTTAGGCAAAGGTCAATATTTTAGTAGGCTACACAGTGTTTGTGTCATTGTAACATTCTCTTTAACATTCCTACAATACTGAACAGTTATAATAATGATTAAGTGATGAACATATAACAAAAATAACTATAATGGCTTTCTGGTAACAATTGCAATATTTTTTATTTATTGTTTTTTCACTTCTCACAGAATAACAATTAATCAAAGAGGCCGAATCCCATGTCGTCATCAGATCCCTCTTCAGATTCCTCTTTCTTCTCCTCCTTTTTCTCTTCCGCTGCAGACACACATAGCACAAACATAGGTTAGCTTCATGTTTGGGAGTCTATCCGCAAAACGCATAGTTAATTTCAAGAAATGCAATAACAGTGTAATATCAAGCACAAGCGTTTTCCTCTAAATATGTTATTTAACCTCTTAAGGACCAGACCCTTTCTTTCAATTTTTGCCTAAAATGACATAACCAAATCTAACTGCATGTAACTCAGGACCTGAAGCAAGGATATGCATATTCTTGATACCATTTGAAACGCTGAAGTTTGTGGAAATGTGAAATTAATGTAGGAGAATATAACACATTAGATCTGGTAAAAGATAAAACAAACAAAAAAACATGCGTTTTCTATTATTTTTTGTTCCATCATCTTTGAAATGCAAGAGAAAGGCCACAGGATGTAGCTCAGTTGGTAGAGCATGGCGTTTGCAACGCCAGGGTTGTGGGTTCGGAAAAAATGTATGCACTCACTAACTGTAAGTCGCTCTGGATAAGAGCATCTACTAAATTACTAAAATGTAAAAATGTAGCTATAATTGTGGTTTAGGCGCAATTTAGATTTTGGCCACTAGATGGCAGCAGTGTGTGTGCAACGTTTCAGATTGATCCAGTAAAGTATTGCAATACTGGACTATTTTCTTTCAAGTCTGCCCAAATGTGAGGAATTGGTCAATTGATACATTTTCAAGTACATAACTATAGAGAACATACAAAAATGATACGGTAATACAAAATGTAAGTTTACACACTCCCAGGAATGTCATACATGATGGATCATTAGCTTATACACTAACTTTCACACATCTAGATGGCCTGGCGGGGTTCAAACTGTAGAACCCAGTTCCCACATTTTTGAATATAAAAATTGATTTTATCAAACAAAACTATGCTACATTTTATCTCTGGGACACTTAGGATGACATATCTGAGCAAGATTACTGAATGTAAGTACATTATTTACCTTCAGAGGTGAATGTATCAAACCAGTTGCTGTGCTAAGTTTTTTTGTTGTTGTGCACTCTCCTCAAACAATAGCATGGTATTTTTTCACTGTAATAGCTACTGTAAATTGGACAGTGCAGTTAGATTACCAAGAATGTAAGCTTTCTGCCCATATAAAACATGTCTATGTCCTGGAAAGTTTGCTGTTACTTACAACAGTCATGCTAATACATTATCGCGCGTTAGCTCAACCGTCCCGTATATGGGACACCGATCCCGTAGTGGTTAATGCAATTCGTTTCAAAGAAATGTGTTTCAGTCCATTGAAATTATTGGCTCCCTATAATTATTGTGGAACCTGATGCGAGACAAAAGGAGAGACATGAGAGATTTAGAGCTTACCAGCAACAGGAGCAGCCCCAGCTGCAGCAGCAGCAGCAGGAGCTCCTACAGCACCACCTGCTGGCACGGAGGCCAACTTAGAGAGGCCTGCAAAGCATAAAGGACCAATTCATTGACAGGTAATAAATTAACATGAACAGTGAATTAATGACTGATGACATTTGTGCCTATTTGCAATCTATTGACCAAAGTAGGGATGTCCCCGACACAAAATAAATCTTTGTCGACCAAGATTCGTCTGTTTTTTCAACCATTCGATTGATCAACATTTTTCAAGGTGTATTTTTCCATATATTGACACATTTGTTTTAATCAAGTCAACTATATTCACTGAGCTTGTCTGATGCTTTAAGCGGTTTGGTTTGATTAAATAATTAAGACACAAATGACTAGAGGGAGTCCAACCAGCAATTGATTTGATTGTGCCAGGCTCAGACCTGCTGTGCTGTGTATAAAAATTAATAAAAAAGACAGCGAGTGACTGTGACTAGCACCCATTGTCCCTCTCTCCTCCCTGCTGCAGCGACCGCCACAGAACATCAACGTGTTTATCGCGCTGTCCATGTTGGAAAAACTGCAACATAATTACAGCCATTTCTGACTGAAAAGTTCTGTTACCGAAATTCCTCATTTGTTTAGGAAAAGCATTCCCTATTCCCTCAACCCTTGCGCTCTTTACGTGACACATGTATGCATCGCATGCATGTGACCAAAGACCTATTCGCACGGGACTAGTATTACTAGAGAACGTTGGTTATGTAATTATTAATCCAGAATGTCTGTTATTCCAGAGGACGATTCAGACAGGATTAGTTTTTTTTCCAAATGGCCCCCTGTAATTCTATTTTTTCCCAATAAATTGACAGTCCTTGCGAGGCTTTCCTTTAGCCAATCTGTAACATTAACCATTCTGTAGCTATGACCTTGTATGAACTCACGAGTCAAATCAAAGACATAAGGGAAAATGCCTCACCAGAGTTCATGACTTCATTGATGTCTTTTCCATTCAATTCAGCGACAACCTGTGAAGACAAATTCGGGTTCTAATTATCACCAGTTACTGTGTAAACCGAGGCCTCCATCGTGCAAGTGTCCAAGTAAACAAAAGTAACTCAGTTTCTTATCAAAACACAAGACAGGATCTCCCTAAATGGTGCCATACCTTGTCTAGGCGCTCATTTTCGGCCTCGATTCCAACACTCCCCAGGATGGTCTTGATGTCCTTGGAGGAGGGGCTGGTGTTGCCACCGAGCACAGCCAGGAGGTAAGCGGCCACGTAACGCATTCTGCAAGAGATATGGAGAAGAAAAAACTATTAGTTGGATTATAAGATATATTGGTCTACGTGACATGCATTCTGTGGATATTCAGATTGGAATTACCCACGTCCATGTGACGATATGAGTAGCCTAATTAGCAATGACTACAGTGTTTTCCACAAGCACATGGAGTAGCCAGCCAAATAGAAAAAGTTGTAAGCCAGGCTCCCCATGCTGGGGGGGGGGGGGGGGTTAAGAAATGTTTGCAGAACAAGCTTTATTTTGGAGGCCTCTGGTACATTCTAATACTAGATTGTATTTTCAACCAGCAACTATCAGGAAATAACACTGATCAAATGTTTTCACACCCTTACAGTGTTATTCATCAGCTGTACAACATGATATTAAACAAGACAATTATATTTTTGACTGCACTGGGCCTTTAAGAGGCATTTTCTCAGGTATGATTGAAGAATGAAGCAGCTGACATGAGCTTTGCTACACAGAAAGCAGCAGTTGACTACTCCATTGTCAACACTGATATCGTCATGGCTACAGTAGGCTAGCCAAGCTGAATGCTAGGCATCTTTTTGTAGCTTTCTTTTTGCAACAGTAGCCCGCAATTTGATAGTATGTTCACTATTGAAAGTTTACTTTTGTAAATCACTTTCCCTAAAAGAAAAAAGCTCAGAGAGTAGATTGATGGGACAGCTTGCGTTTAATGTGTGAAGGCATCAACCTGCTCCAGAAGTTGTGACTCGCTCAAATACAAATAGCATGACTTCTACACATGTAGTCTTCGATGGTTTTGAATGGTAGACTGCGACAGAGCAGGTAAATCTTGAACTGGAATGCAAAAATGCGATGAAAAGTTATTGGCCCTTTCAAGTCAGTGACTGACGAGATCCACCTTCCAGACCAACATGTTTTTACTGGCCCCGGGTCAGCGTTAATGTCGGACCCTGCACGCGAAAGAAAATACATGAATGTGCCAGAAAACAATAGGCTAAATGATTGACTCATCGTTACCACATTATATGGGACATGCAAATTCATGCTCCCAGGGCTGCCAACTTTTGAAGATAGTGAATATCACTCCAAGATATCATTAATGTCATTGGCTCCACCACTAGCCGGGGGGGTTGCGGGAACCCTACCACCACCATGGGGGCACTCTGTTCACAACGTTGACATCAGCAAACGGGGGGTTAAAGGCTGTTAATTGTTCAGCAGTCTCATGGCTTGGGGGTAGAAGCTGTTAAGCAGCCTTTTGGACGTAGACTTGGCGCTCCGGTACCGCTTGCCATGCGGTAGCAGAGAGAACAGTATGACTTGGGTGTCTGACAATTTTTGGGCCTTCCTCTGACATCGACTAGTATATATGTCCTGGATGGCAGGAAGCTTGGCCCCAGTGAAGTACTGGGCCGTAAGCACTACCCTCTATAGAGCCTTATGGTCGGATGCAGAGCAGTTGCCATACCAGGCAGTGATGCAACCGGTCAGGATGCGCTCGATGGTGCAGCTGTAGAAATTTGAGGATCTGGGGCCCCATGCCAAATCTTTTCAGTCTCCTGAGGGGGAAAAGGTGTTGTCGTGCCCTCTTCACGACTGCCTTGGTGTGTTTGGACCATGATAGTTTGTTGGTGATGTGGACACCAAGGAACTTGAAACTCTTGACCCACTCCACTACAGCCCATTGATGTGAATTGGGGCGTGTTCGGTCCTCCATTTCCTGTAGTCCACCATCAGCTCCATTGTCTTGTTCACGTTGAGGGAGAGGTTATTGTCCTGGCACCACACTGCCAGGTCTCTGACGACCTTCCTATAGGCTGTCTCATCGTCGTCGGTGATCAGGCCAACCACTGTTGTGTTGTCAGCAAACTTAATGGTGGTGTTGGAGTCGTGCTTGGCCACGCAGTCGTGGGTGAAGAGGGAGTACAGGAGGGGACTAAGCACGCATCCCTAAGGGGCCCCCATGTTGAGGATCAGCGTGGCAGATGTGTTGTTAACCTACCCTTACCACCTGTGGGTGGCCCTTCAGGAAGTCCAGGATCCAGTTGCAGAGGGAGGTGTTTAGTCCCAGGGTCCTTAGCTTAGTGATGATCTTTGTGGACACTATGGTGTTGAACGCTGAGCTATGGTCAATGAACAGCATTCTCACGTGTTCCTTTTGTCCAGGTGGGAAGGGCAGTGTGGCGTGCGATTGACATTGCGTCATCTGTGGATCTGTTGGGAATGTATGTCAGGGATGTAGCTCAGTTGGTAGAGCATGGTGTTTGCCAGGGTTGTGGGTTTGATTTCCCACGGCGGGCCAGTATGAAAAAATTAAAAAAATAATGTATGCACTCACTAACTGTAAGTCGCTCTGGATAAGAGCGTCTGCTAAATGACTAAAATGTAAATGTAAATGTAGGTGAATTGCAGTGGGTCTAGGGTTTCCGGGATGATGGTGTTGATGTGAGCCACTTCATGGCTATCGACGTGAGTGCTACGGGGCAGTAGTCAGTTGAAAATGTAATTGAAGACACTTGCCAGTTGGTCCGCGCATGCTCTGAGTACACGTCCTGGTAATCCGTCTGGCCCTGCGGCCTTGTGAATGTTGACCTGTTAAAAGGTCTTGCTCACATCGGCTACGGAGAGCGTGATCACAGTCGTCCGGAACAGCTGGTGCTCTCATGCATGCTTCAGTGTTGCTTGCCTCGAAGCGAGCATAAAATGCATTTCGCTCATCTGGTAGGCTCGCGTCACTGGGCAGCTTGCGGCTGGGTTTCCCTTTGTAGTCCATTTGCAATAGTACGTTTGCAAGCCCTGCCACATCCGACGACCGTCAGAGCCGGTGTAGCAGGATTCAATCTTAGTTCTGTATTGACTCTTTGCCTGTCTGATGGTTCGTCTGAGGGCATAGCGGGATTTCTTATAAGCGTCCGGATTAGTGTCCCGCTCTTTGAAAGCGGCAGTTCTAGCCTTTAGCTTGGTGCGGATGTTGCCTGTAATCCATGGCTTCTGGTTGGGATATGTACGTACGGTCACTGTGGGGACGACGTCGTCGATGCACTTTTTGATGAAGCTGGTGACTGAGGTTGTATACTCCTCAATGCCACTGGATGAATCCCGGAACATATTCCAGTCTGTGCTAGCAAAACAGTCCTGTAGCGTAGCATCCGCGTCATCTGACTACTTACGTATTGACCGAGTCACTGGTACTTCCTGCTTTAGTGTTTAGTTGTAAGTAGTAATCAGGAGGATAGAATTATGGTCAAATTTTCCAAATGGAGGGCGAGGGAGAGCTTTGTATGCGTTTTTAATGTTCTCTAAATAAGCCTTTTTTCCCTTTTTACAATTAAAGTTCAAATACACTGCATTTAAAACAGTCAGCAATAACCTAATGAACTCAGAGCTTGTGAAATTATACCTAGGCTGAATATATGCCTTCCACAACCATTAAACCCACTAATAATTCCCATTGTTAGGGCGGAGACATGAGCATCTTGTGATTATATACATATCTCTGGTGTAAATGGGAAGTTGCACAGCAAAGGAGGGGGACCAAAAAGACATGAAAACAAGCAGACATTTGGAATATCGCGCAAAAACATTAAATTGAATGTTCACCCAGCCCTACCTCTATCATTCTTAAATGGAAGAAGTTTGGCACCACCAACTCTTCCTAGAGCTGGCCACCCGGCCAAACTGTGCAAACGGTGGAGAAGGGCCTTGGTCAGGGAGGTGACCAACAACCCGATGGTCACTCTGACAGAGCTCTAGAGTTGCATTGAGGAGATGGGAGAACCTTCCAGAAGGACAACCATCTCTGCAGCACTCCACCAATCAGGCCAGACGGAAGCCACTCCTCAGTAAAAGGCACATGACAGCACGCTTGGAGTTCGCCAAAAGGCACCTAAAGGACTCTCAGGCCATGAGAAACAAGATGCTCTGGTCTGATGAAACCAAGATTGAACTCTTTGGCCTGAACGCCAAGTGTCACGTCTGGAGGAAACCTGGCACCATCCCTACAGGATGGTGGTGGAGGCAGCATCATGCTGTGGGGATGTTTTTCAGCGGCAGGGCCTAGGAGACTAGTCAGGATCGAGGCAAAGATGAATGGAGCGAAGTACAGTACAGAGAGATACTTGATGAAAACCTGCTCCAGAGCGCTCAAGACCTTAGACTGGGGCGAAGGTTCACCTTCCAACAGGACAACGACCCTAAGCACACAGCCAAGACAACGCAGGAGTGGCTTCAGGACAAGTCTCTGAATGTCCTTGAGTGGCCCAGCCTTGAACCAGATCGAACATAGCTGTGCAGCGACACTCCCCATCCAACCTGACAGAGCTTGAGAAGATCTGCAGAGAAGAATGGGAGAAACTCCCCAAATACAGGTGTGCCAAGCTTGTAGCGTCATACCCAAGAAGACTTGAGGCTGTAATCGCTGCCAAAGGTGCTTCAACAAAGTACTGAGTAAAGGGTCTGAATACTTATGTAAATATGATATGTTCATTATTTTTTATAAATTTGCTAAAATGTTTTTAAAAAACAGTTTTTTCTTTGTCATTATGGGGGTATTGTGTGTAGACTGATGAGGGAAAAACAAAATAATTTAATCCATTTTAGAATAAGGCTGTAACGTAACAAAATGTGGGAAAAGTCAAGGGGTCTGAATACCTTCCGAATGCACTGCATGACAGAAGTATGTGGACACCCGCTCTTCAAACATCTCATTCCAAAATGATGGGCATTAATATGGAGTTGGTGCTATAAAAGCCTTTAGGCCTGGCTTGCAGTCGGCGTTACAATTTATCTCAAAGGTGTTCGATGGGTTTGAGGTCAGACCATTATTCCTCTTCCACCAAACTTTACAGTTGGCACTATGCATTCGGGCCATAAAATTTGATCAGCGGAGAAAGAACGCGCCTGTCCAGTCTGCCACAGTGCGATGGCAAGAAGATTATGGAACTCCCCGGTGAAGCTGCCACAGTTACAGCGCTCGTGATGTTGAATTGCAGACGCATATTATATGTTCTGATTTC